TATTCTCTTGGAAGTTCTTTGCCTGGACAACTTTATCTGATACCATGTATACTTTTTTAGGTGGGGCCAAGTTTTTATTTTGGATGCACTATCCAGATACAAGGCAGCTGATGCTCGTGAGGCTGAAAATATAGTGGAACGAGTTACTCCAAGGCTACAACATGCTAACTGTGCAGTTGTACTTTCAGCTGTGAAGGTGACATGCTACCATCTTTGGTGTATGCTTCATTATTTTCTTATTATGGATGCCTTTGGCAGTTATATTCTAGTCAAAATTCAATCATTTTTCACATTTCTGTATTCCTTTTCTTCTAATAGATGATCCTTCAACAAATGGAACTTATAACTAGCACTGATGTGGTTCGAAATCTTTGCAAGAAGATGGCTCCTCCTCTTGTTACGTTACTCTCTGCAGAGCCAGAGATTCAGTATGTTGCCTTGCGTAACATCAACCTAATTGTACAAAGACGGCCTACGATCCTTGCCCATGAGATTAAGGTGAACGGAAATTCCTTGCAACACTTCACATTTGTTAATTTGAGATTGAGTCAAAGATGCTTATCCAATACCTTTTCTTTTATGTACAGGTGTTTTTTTGCAAGTACAATGACCCAATTTATGTGAAGATGGAGAAGCTAGAAATCATGATAAAGCTTGCTTCAGACCGTAATATTGATCAGGTAATATATACATGTGGGGTGAGGAAGACTAGGCACATTGGCCTTTCTTTTCCATTGTTAGTCTATGAGAGATTATTTAGGTTGTGTTGTCCTTGTGGTGAGCAATTTTCCAGGTTCTACTGGAGTTCAAAGAGTATGCCACAGAAGTTGATGTAGATTTTGTTAGAAAGGCTGTCCGTGCCATTGGCCGTTGTGCGATCAAGTTAGAGAGAGCTGCCGAGCGATGTATCAGTGTTCTCCTAGAGTTGATCAAGATTAAAGTAAACTACGTGGTTCAAGAGGCTATCATAGTTATTAAAGACATCTTTAGGAGATACCCCAACACGTAAGCTACAGCTTTGGTGCCCTTGATGTACAAAGGTGAAATTATTGTTTTTCTTTCATCCATAATGAATTTGAAGTTCCTTTGCAGTTATGAGTCAATCATTGCAACGCTCTGTGAGAGCCTAGACACTCTAGATGAACCAGAAGCCAAGGTATTTGTGTTTCTTCTTCAGTTTTTCCCTTCATGTTTTATGATCTGAACTTACTTTCTGTGCCGGCTACCCTTTTTTGCCATCTCCTTTAAGGCTTCAATGATCTGGATTATTGGTGAATATGCTGAAAGAATTGACAATGCTGATGAGCTCCTAGAGAGCTTCTTGGAGAGTTTCCCTGAAGAGCCTGCACAAGTCCAGTTGCAATTGCTGACTGCAACTGTCAAACTCTTCCTTAAGAAGCCAACTGAAGGCCCTCAACAGATGATTCAGGTTTTGATTGCGTCTACTCACATGCACTTCAAATCTGATATATAATGGATCTTTGTCCCTTGTTCATTTGACTTCACAGCATCTGTTTGGCACCTTTGAGATGACTAGAACATGATTGATCCTGTGATTGTTCATAACTAATATCAATTCAGCAACATGCAGACTTCTGAAGTGTCTTTAAGTTAATTCTCACTGCAGAACTCTCTTACAGGTTGTTTTGAATAATGCCACTGTGGAAACTGACAATCCTGATCTAAGGGATCGTGCATACATATATTGGCGTCTGCTATCAACTGATCCTGAGGTGTGATTTTGCTATGGAGAAGCATATCCTCTGTTTTTGTTAGATTAAACGTGTGATTGCATGTCTATTTTTTTATGTACTGCTAGTAAGTTTTATGTCATGCGTGATGGGTGTGCTTTGATGTTTCAGGCTGCTAAAGATGTTGTGTTAGCTGAGAAACCTGTGATCAGTGATGATTCAAACCTACTTGATCCATCTCTTCTTGATGAGCTTCTTGCCAACATTGCGACATTGTCGTCTGTGTATCACAAACCCCCAGAAACATTTGTAACCCGTGTGAAGACTACAGCTCAGAAAACTGAAGATGATGAATATGCTGAAGGGAGTGAAGCAGGGTATCCTGAATCATCTGCTCATCCTGCTGATGGTGCCACATCACCACCTACTAGTTCAAGTAATGTTGCATATGCCGGAGCAACGCAACCAGCTCCTGCACCGTCTTCAAGTCCACCTGCTGCTCCTGTGCCAGATTTGATGGGTGATCTGTTGGGCATGAATAATAGTTCCATTGTTCCTGTTGACCAGCCCTCCATTCCACCTGGGTAAGCTTCTTGACTGCACAAACTGTCTAATTGACCTTTGTTACTTCCAGCTGTTGGGCTATGAATGTCACTTACTGGATCTCTTGACCAATATTGCAGCCCTCCTTTGCCTGTTCTACTACCAGCATCCACTGGTCAGGGTTTACAAATCAGTGCACTGCTTGTAGGGCAGGATGGTCAGATATTCTACAGTTTATTGTTTGAGAACAACTCACAGATTGCCCTGGATGGATTCATGATCCAGTTTAACAAGAATTCGCTCGGTCTTGCAGCTGCTGGACCTCTGCAGGTAGTGCTGATCTTTGTTTGTTTATTCAAGATGGAAATTTCCTCATTGAGCATGTAATTGACAAACAATTATTTATTAGGTTCCGCAATTGCAACCTGGGACATCAGCAGCAATTCTGCTGCCTATGGTTTTGTTTCAGAATATGTCTGCTGGTCCTCCAAGCTCACTCTTGCAAGTTGCTGTGAAAAATAATCAACAACTTGTATGGTATTTCAATGACAAAATCTCATTGCATGTATTCTTCACCGAGGATGGTAGGATGGAACGTGGAAGCTTTCTTGAGGTAAAAGAGAAAAAAGCTTGATCTTCTTTTCTTGGACTGACCTTTGTATGCTAAAAAGTTTATAAAAGAGTGCGTGGTAGTATCGAATTGCAGACCCCTTATTTCTCTGGATTTTTCAAGCATTAAGGCAACTCGTCCTCTTAGAGCCAGCCTGCTAGAATAACAAATAGTAGTAAAGTATCAGGCTAATTGTCATTTCCAAAATCTACACTAATAGTAAAGTATCAGGCTAATTTCAGGAAAGAAGAGACTGGAAATAAATTTGTGGTAGGGGAAATGCTATCCTAGGACTTTTTGAGAGGTTGGATATTCTTTGTAGTCTGATTCTAAATTTCTAATAAATCTCCTGGGGGATGCGGGGTCAATGGGGTTGATGAGCAAATTAGTAATTTTTCTATAGCCTGGAACATTTGAGGATAGAAATCGAGAGATTTTGCAAGCAGATATGATTTGATTAGCCACTTTCACCATTGCCATTGGAACCTAATATTATGTTCTTACACATTGCAGTCATGGAGGTCCCTTCCTGATTCAAATGAGGTCTCAAAGGACTTGCCGGGCATTACAGTGAATGGTGTAGAATCTACATTGGACCGGCTTGCTGCATCAAACATGTTCTTTATAGCAAAGCGAAAGCATTCAAACCAGGATGTGTTCTACTTCTCTGCTAAGATCCCTAGAGGAGTTGCCTTCTTAATCGAACTCACGACAGTTGTTGGAACCCCTGGGGTCAAGTGTGCCATCAAGACTCCAAACCCCGAGATGGCACCGCTTTTCTTTGAAGCCATTGAGACTCTCCTCAAGAGTTAATTTTTCAAGTGTTCTGCATCTTTACAACTTTTTTTTCTTTTTTATAATTACATTTTTCGGTTTATATATGTAAAATCTGTATTGATTTAGTGAGAGGTTTTGATTGATCACTCTGGCCGCCTTAGATTTATTCTTTTTGGGTTCACTCAACCTTGAATTGTTTGGCACTCCAGATTTTTGTTGAACTGAATCTGTTATGTAGCGAGGGACGGACTCGAAGGGCTTATTTTTTTTTAATCGGCTCCCGGTAAACTGGATGTAATTGCAACAGCTGACGGATATTTTTTGAGGGGTTTTCCTCCGTTCAGAGTTACAGGGTTGGAATACTTGTGTTCGGTGTTGGCGTATATGTTTTAATTCCACCTCGGATTTTGTGTTTCGGAGTCCATGAAGAATGCATGCAATCAGTGAATGGCTGGAAAAATTGATTTGATTCAAGGGAGGCTAGTAGTTTTATCCTTTACCATGTGCGCACAAACGCCATGTGCACGTGTATTATGTGGTGGTGAAAATTTTCTTTCTACTGTTTCATTGGATTCCCCGCGGCGTTCTTTAGAGAACAGAAGATGGCACGTGTTGATTGTTTCTCGATGGATTATCGCTGTCAATGTTTTGTTTTTGTTTTTTTTTTTTGTCTTTTCTTCCTTGAATCACGCGCTAGCTATTTAACATTTATGGCCTTTAGCTGCGAGCATTTGAATGTTTGTTTTTATTTTTTGTTTTTAATTTTTTTAAAAAAATTATTTATTTTTTCTTTAATTTTGGTCTTAATTCTTTTTATTTCTTAATTTTTTTCTATTTTTTTTTGTAAACTCTCAATTATTTTTAATTTCATCATTTGATAACAAATCTATTTTTTTAATTGTCATTATTTTTTTATAGTTTCTTCTTTTAGTTAGTTTGTGAATTGATTTTTCCTTAAAAATTTAACCATTCAATCAAAAAGTATTCATCCTTATAATTATTTTTTAAATTTAATTTTTATTTTTTTATTTTTTTATATAATTATTTTTTTAATTTCATCACTTCTTCAATTGAGCATTTTTTTTTAAATTAATTTTTTTATTTTAAATCTTTTTATATTGTTTATTTTTTTATTTTATATTTCAATATTTAATTTATTAAAATTTATCATAATAATTTTTTATTTTTAAAGTTTTTAGTTAAATGATCTAAGTCATAAGTTTTATAAGTTAATAATAGTTTTTTAAAAATTAAATTTTATAATTTTTATGTAATTTTTAAATTTGATGGGTTAATTTAGGTGTGCTTGAATTTTTTTTTTTTAATTAATATTTTTATTATTTTGTATGATTATTTTTTTAATATGACTATTTTTTTTGTACAAAAAATGTGGTAACATTATCGTGGATGTCTTACTCAAGAGAAGGAAGGTGAGTCTTGTCTCTTAATCATGTCTTTTCAGTAGTAATTTATTATTATTATTATTATATGTCAGTATTGCTAGAATTCCGAGTTTTAATATTATGTTACAATTGAGTTGTTTATGACCATCCTTAGGTCTGTTTCGCCACGCAATTCGGGTTCACCGGACAGAGGCCGGCGCTCAAGATCGTTGTCAAGGCCCCGTCGAAGTCGCTCCAGGTAATGTGGCTTGCTTCTTTTTTTTTGGGTGGGTGCATGCAGGACTGTATTTTCGTGAGATTTTGAATCATGGTTTAGTTTTTGTTGTTTCAGGAGAGTATCAATGGTGCTGGCGTGGCATCAAATCCTGGAGATAACTTGTACATAACTGGATTATCAACAGTGATCACAAGCAGTGATCTTGAGAAGTATTTTAACTGGATTAAAAGGGAAGGTATAGTTCTGGCAAAATCATTTATTGTCTATCCTGAATGAGTTCCTGTGATTGATTAATGTTGTTTACGGGTTTCTGAAACATGACTGCAGTCTGGCAATGATGCCTGTGTTCCAGAGTTCTATGTGAAATTCCTCAGGGAGCAGTTACATATCTGGGTTTGGAAAGGAAATTTTAAATTCTGGATGGTTATGGATTTTGAAGATACTGATGTAATATTATATCAAGTATGTGGTCTTAATGCATGTCATTCATCATCTGATATTTCATTGTTTGCTGCATCCTGTTCAATTTCTAGAATTTATGCGTTTCAGCTCCCCTTTCCATGTAGCAAGACTCCAGTTTATGCATTTCAACCACTAGTTCTCTTTTACTATAAAAATTGTATAACTTTTAGTTAGTTATCAGAGATTTTTATGCCCATAAAATTTTACTTTAAGTTACGGTTTCAGGTTTTGGAGTGTCATCTGGTAAAATTTCCGCCCCCCCCGTGGATTTGCTTTTTTTACCATAAAAACTACCGGGGATGCTGACCGTTGCATCAGGTGTTTGAATTGTTCAGTGCTTGAAGGAATCAGGTGTTTGAATTGTTCAGTGCTTGAAGGATGACTGATCACCGTGGAGAAGGTACTGTTCCCATCAATGGATTTTGAAGAGATATGCAGGGGGAGTGAATTGCTTACATATCGTTTTTTATTTCCACCGGTCTTCCCTAATACAATTCTGTTGTGCTTCTGTTTTTAATGCAGGCAAAAAGAAGCCGTGGTAGGACACCAACTGCTGGCAGGTATCAGGGACGGAGAGATAAGTGAGGCATGTACCAGAGTTACTTGTGCATTTGGGTGGCAATTCTTATAGCCACCGAGCATGGATTATCATATGTGAATGTTGGTTCAATTTGATGTTTGCTGGAGAATACCTGGGTCTTTGATTCTTGGGTTCTTTATGATATCCTAAATTATCTCCTTTTACCTGCTAATCTAGCATGACATTAATGTATGGTTTCCAGCATATTTTTCTTGTCAGTCTAGTTCTAGGTCTCTTCTGCATGCATGCCGCTGTATGATTGTGCCTGACCTGGAAAGTTGAGAGTGTTTGGTCTCCTTCAATTTATACTCTCGAGGGTGTTGCCTTGACATGGAAAAAATAAACTGTTCTCATCACCAACGCATTACTTCCCCGGAAGTGAGCTATTTTCCTTGGTAGGTTCAAAACAGAATGAACACATGTTTCAGTCCTATGATAATCAGATCCAGCAGGTTGAGAATCCTAGATTTTAGAAAGTTGTGTCATTTGCCTTCAGAAATCGCATGATTAATCAAAGTCTCACTCCTATCTTCAGAGGCATGCAAGTTCATTTGTTCACGTATTGAGAAAATAAACTTCTATTTATCTGAACGCCTTTATTTTTCACCCTTGGCAACATCTCGTAATTTTTTTATCAAAGATCTAAGAAAACTGCTGTAGGATATGAACCATTTGTGTGAAATCTCAATAGAATTCTGATAAAAACTGGTGGACGTGGAGAATACAGATGGCAGACTCAAACAATTGCCTTTCACGCTGTATGAACTGGCGGAATTTCGGAGGGGGAATGAATGACCCACCATGGAAGAAGCATTCATTTATGAAAATGAACCTTGTATCAATCTTGGCTCGTATCCAATTGAATGCAGACTAGCTGTAAGGAAACCTGCCCATCAATGGAGGAGCCACTGATTGGTACTATTGGAATTCGCAGGACAGGAATCAGTAGGGTAACTGTACATCCCCAGGGAAGGAAGCAAATGCCTTTTATGCTCTCACGGAATTTCTGCTCTGCTTTACGTGAATATGTTCTTTGGGTTAGGTCTTTGGTGTAGCATGCGCATGCTTTGCTTCGTTAATTCTTCCATGAGTTTATAGCCCAATGCCTGTACTTTTCTTCTTCTTTTTGTCTATTTATTCTGCAGAGCATGTGATTAATGCAAGTGTTGTATCACTTCTCATTTTGTTGTTTGGAGCTTGAGACACAGAGTTGACATGGATGTGTTTACCTTTTCATAATTAATTATTTTATTTTATTTGGAAAAGAAATATCATAGTTTAGAATAAACTATTTAATTTCGAAGAACTTTACAATAGAATGAGGGAACAAATGAGAGGGGGTTTGAATTTGAGAGGATAAAATCCCCCTCCCAACTAACATACATGTAAAATCAAAAGTCTCGCATGCATCATATAATAATATAAATTATGTTTTAATATTTTATTTAATAATTTAAATTATTAGATTAAAAGAATTATTTGGATGTAGTATAACACTTTAATGACCACACAAACATAATTTTAAATTATATCATCATTATTTTTTTAATTAAAATATAATTAATACCATGAATATATAGTTAGACTTTAAATATTATCATTGTTTTTTAATTAAAATCTAATAATACTATATCATTGTACTAGATAATACAATTAAATTTAATTACGAGAAAAATCGCATTATTTTATATTTTGAAATGAAAGATTATAACAAATAAAAAAAAGAAAAGAAAAAGAAAAGGAGGAGGAATGGAATGGATGAAAAGGTCCGTAAATAAATGAGATGAGAGAGAGCATGTGGGGGGTGGGGGCCCGCACTTTGAATCCTAGAATAAGGAAGAAGCGGGATGTAGGAGGGAGAGTGCGCTCCAGCTGCAAGCGCGGACTTGAAATCATATTTCAAATTTCTTTTTTTGTTTTCAATTTCTATTAAAAAAACAAACACACAGATTATGGATTTATTTATCGTCAAGTACGACTCCAATTTTTACTTGCTTGGATAAGATCCGACAACTCGATCTCTGACACGTGTACGCCTTTTTTCCTCTCTCTGCCCCTTTAAGTTACCGGTCACTACCCAGCAGCTTCGTTATAAGCCCTTTAAGCTTGGCTTGGCTTGGCTTGGCTTTCGATTGCATAATATTTGGTTCTGGACAAAAATGCCTCTGTTGTTCTGATTTTGCTGCAGAAGATATCATCCATCCTAGCCGTTGAAATATTTCTGTCGGAAATAAGGCATACAGTGGTTGATGTTTAATATCTAAGACACAATGTCTTGCTTTTTTTATTATATTCTGAGTTAAATTATAGTTAAAAAATAAATAAAGAGGGTGTTCTAGTTTAATAATGGGTGGCCAAGTTTAAACCTAGTAGTTCTCTTTTCTTTTTGTTTTCGATAAGAATACTAGAGTCGCTATTAATTATTACAAGCTATTTTTAGCAGTGATGTCAAACTGAATGTTAATTCTGAAATTTTTTATTTTCACTTGTTATTAAATTTATATTTTAAATTAAATCAGAAAAAAATTATCTTAGCATGACCTATACAATTTAAAGATTACAAAGATAATGAACCAATCAAAATTAAAAAAATTAAAATAACATTCTCTAAAAAACAAAAGATGATAATATATTAGATTAATTTGGGTTTTACAATTTTACTCGCCAAGTTTGCACTACGGGCCATTGATTCAACAAGATTTAATAGTTTTTTTAAATTAATTTCTATTTAATTATATAATAATAAAAATATTCGTTCATGAAATTGATCATCAACTTAATATTAAGATGTTTGTTTTGGATTAAGATAACCATAGAGAAAATAAACCAAAACAAATAAAAAACTTAGTTCTAAATTAATATGTGAAATTTGTGATTCATGTTAAAACTTTGTTAAATTTAATATGTTTTTAAAAATAATTTTTTATTTAATTCTATGATAAAAAATAAACAGAAATCGAGCATCAAACCAAAATCTAGATATTTTTTTGATATCGTAATAATCTTATATGAAGAAAAACTATTTATCTGAGAGCTTTAATTTTTATGAAGATATTTTTATCTAATAATGCAATAAAAAAATTAGTTGTTTGCAAAACTAATTATCAATAAAATATCAAAATATTTATTTGAGAATGCAATAAAATTTTAAAAATAAAAAAAATAGATTATAAAGTTTAATTAAAGAATAAAAAATTCAATATAAATTTAATATTAAAAAATAAAAAATTAAATTTGCAGACTTGAGTGCCCATGAACTTGGGCCTTTTTGTTACTTTTTTGTTTTTAAGAGCTAAACAAACTGGCTATTAATAGAATATAAGGATATTTGTTTGAGAATATGATAAAACTAAAAAAACTTATAAAAATTAATAGAAAAATAAAACATTTAGTAGGAATTCAATATTAAAAACAAAAAAAAGGTTTTGCAGGCTAGGGTGGCGAACTTGGGGCCTTTTTGTTACTGTTTTTTTTTTAAAAAACAAAGAGTTAGACAATCACCCTATTCTTTAGAATATATATATATATATATATAATTGTTTATACATGGCTTGATGTTTTAAATTTTAACCACAGGAAGTGGTCGAAGAGCCAAGCTACTAATTTTAGGGCAAAACAACTCATTTTCACACATTTCTTATACCAAGATACCCCATTAAATCCATCCTATGTCCTAAATTCAGGTCCCAAATCAACATTTAATTATGACGGTAGAGATTTGAAATCCAAATGGAATTCAAATTCTAAAAACTATGCAATAAAGTCATATGAAACACCCTTTTATTTGCTATAACAAATGTCATTCGAATTGTCATTAAAAACAAAATTTCAAAGATATCATTAACATCACGAACCCTCTTTTTTTATAAAATCTTTTATATATATATATATATATATATATATAGACACACACTGTCTTTTTCCTTCTCTTACTCCAGCCCCCGCCATCTCTTTATGTTTATGGAGTGACTATACTTGGGTGGTGAAATAGTATGTGTATTTTTCATGATTTCTTACTTGACCTCATTGAACATGTAAAATTACAGTACCCCGAGGACCTCCACAAATATATTTATTGTCTTGTTATTCGTAATCGGGTCAATCCCTCGGACTAATTAGAGGCTAACATTATCGATCCTTTTATAGTTATAGAAGGACGGTCGAGTTACCGCTTTAGTTTTTGTCTAAAAGGTAGGACTTAGCAATGAGCATTCATTTCTGTTGCTATCCTTCAAAAGATGTAAACATAAAATGTTAATTTGATGATAAGTGATTTTTATATATATATATATATATATATATATATATATATATAATTTAAAGAGATTATTTGTGCAATTAATAGTGCTGCACAGGCTGCTATGAACACAAATCATGAAGTTTAGAAGTCGGTTGGGATAATTTGACCAATGAAAAAAAATTAAAATTAGAAGGATAAAATCTTTTTGAAGCGGTTGAATGGATTGTAAATTATTATAATCTTATTATAGTATTTCTTGGATACCTAAAATAGCTACGTTCTGAATGATTGGTAAGTTAATAATATATTACTGTAGAGTTCAAAATAAACATAAAAGTTAAAGATAATGCTATAAAATTGCCACAAATTTATTTATGCAATTTTTAAAAATTTATTTTGTACGGTGATATTCTTTGAATTTTTAGAACTAATAATTACGGTGTCTTTGTGAATTGTTAATATAGTCAAAACTATGATAGTCATTGACTTGTTTGTAATATGATTTGTGTGGTTTGATATTTATTTCAATTAAGTTTGATACGAGTAAAATGTTGAGAGTTTTTATTGAATGTTAATAGAATTTTTGTTTCTTAACATTCCAATGAAAAAATTAGTTTGATCCATTTTTTTCAATAAATGTGTTTTTCAAAATTTCTTAACAAGGAATTAATGTGAGATGCGTATTTATATATTCTTTAAAATATCTATATCTCGTGTAATTTTAAATAAATATAAAGGTCCTTGTGTAGAAATATATATTTTTTGTAATAAAAATAAATAATTTATAAATTAAGTGCAAAGTAATCATAATTGTTAATTCAATTTATATTCACAAAAATTCCAAATAGTATAATTGAATTCAATTTAGTGGTTTAATATTTTATTCAAGGCATGATAATTTTAATAAATTAAACTTATAATTTAAATTTATTCATGAATTGAACTCAATTTTTCATATGATTTAATTACAAAAGAAGGTGTTATGTTTTTTTTTTTTTTTTTTTTTTTTTTTTTTTTATTGTTATTATTATTCATACTGTCAATGATTAATTAACTAATAATATGACTATGTGATACTAATATTACTCAATTTGAGGATAAAACATCCCTTTTCTTTTTCCCGCGTCATGTCGCAGTTAACGTCCTTTAAGCATGGCAAGGGGAGAGGATCGAGGAGACACACACACGTGACGACATCCTATTGGGGCATAAGTTTTACGGATTTCCCAAACGTCTCCGCAACGCAAAAAATAGCATGGTCCCCACGATATCACGGCGCTACAGAAACCAGATTTTCTCTCGCCATAACGCGACAAAATCAAAATCATGCGCACCCCAAGCCAAGCCAAGCCAAGCCAAGCCAAGCCAAGCCAAGCCAAGTAACGTTACATTTACAAATAAACTTGATGAGTATATTCGAGTCCCTATAAATTCAGACACAATTCAATTCCAATTATTTTAGCTTCCTAAATTTCACTATGAACCCAAACTCTTCTATTTTCCTTTAAGCTCCTCTAAACTCTTATGGAAGACATTATTTACTTCTAAAGTGAAATAACTCATTGAATGTCCAAACTTCCACCTCCGGGGTTTTTATACATAAATAAGCTTGGTAAATTATTTTAAATCTAATTCATTAAAAAATATTTAGCAATTATGTGATACATTATTATTATTATAGGCAAACATGTGAAAGTTAAATACAATCACCATAGAGATAAAAAAAAAAAAAGGAAAAACTTGTAACTATAAATAAACTTTACCCGGGGGGTGTTTTCCTTGGGTATCAAGACGAGATCGCGCTACATTAAGGTAATATAATTTCTTAAAAAATAATAATTAGATGTTATTAACAAGTTTTTTTAAAAATAAAAATTTAATAATTTGGATTATAATTTGATTAGCCGAATAAATTGGTTTTATTTGAATTAGATAGAAAAAAATGATAACAGGCATATTTTTTTAAAAGCAAACACTATAACAAGGAAAAATTATTTCTATCCGGATGGAAAACAATGTTATTTATTTTTTAACTGATAAAATATGAAAATAAAAAATAAAGTAAACAATGATTAAAAAAATATTGTCTGTTAACATGATAGATATGTATTTCTGGAGTCAAAAGGCGAGTCAACATGTATTTTTGGAATTTAAAGATGAGTCAACGTGGATTAATCTATTAAATCCACGTCATAGGTAATGAGATCAAGATAATATGACAATAAATAAATTAAAGAAAAATACCAAGGTAATTTTCTATAGAAAATAATGTTGAATAATGAATCATAAAAAAAAATAAGCTAAAAAAAAGATCTCAACTCTAGCTAACTTTTTAAAATTATGACTTTATCATTCAAAAGTAACATGAATGGAAAAATATAGCGTCCAAGGAACTAATATGTCTAGGACAATATTGAGAAAAAAATAAATCACAAAAAAAGTAATTAAAAATGACAATTAAAATAAAAATAATAATTAAAGGACAATAAAAAAAATAATTTGAGGGTTAGATTGAAAATAATATTAACCCTAACAAAATGATAAAAAATTAAGGACTAAATCATAAAAAATAATATACTATAAATAAGGATTAAATTGAAAATAAATAATTTTCTTATAAAAAAATCAAATAAAAAAATTATAAATCCATAACCCAAGTCATTAATAAAAAAATACTACATATAAAAAATAACAAGGCTCAATCTTAACAAATTAAATGCCAAATAAATAAATAAGATATAAAGGTATAAAATAAAAAATGATAGTTAAAAGAATAAGAGTGAAAATTGAAATAAAAAATAAATTGAAGGAAAACATAATTTTTTTCATTGAAGGATTAAATAAATAAAAAAATTAACAAAAAATCAAAAGAATAAGAATTATATTTAAAAAAATAATACACAATAAACTATGGTTAAATAATTAAATTGAAAATTATAACTAAAATTACAGTAATAATTATTTTTTATAATATTTTTTATTTAAAAATATATTAAAATAATATTTTTTATTTAAAAATATATTAAAATAATATTTTTTATTTTATTTTTTAAAATAAATACATAAAAAATAATAATTTTAAAAGCATATTTTCTGACCGCAAATAAAAACTCACTCTAGAAAGACAAACGGGTATTAAATTGAAATCTTGAAAAGATTATGAGATGAATATAAAAAAAGTGACAAGTTATGGGAGCTGAAGTGACACATTAGTGTAAGATTTAAAAAAAATACAGGGTATAGCAGGTAAGAACATGTAAAGCCGGTGACAAAAGGGTGACCGTACGGCACATGGCAGGTCGTTTCAATGGCAGTTGGTAAGCATTAAGTGTGCCTGCCTCCTCTCTCTTCCTTCCTCCTCTTACTCTCTCTCTTACTGATCGTCATCTCTCTCTCTAAAAAACCTCTGCATGTTCAAATTCTCTCTCCAAATTCATAAATATAACACTGAAAACGCTTTGTTCTGGTCTCATTTTGATTCATTTAGGTAATGAAGTGCTTGTTTTCAGGCTTCTAAGCTCAACCCCACGAAGCTTCTCTCTTCCTTTCTCTAATGTTCTCTCCCTTTTGTGTTCTCAATTACTTCTATTTAATTTTAGATATGATTATTTTCCCCCGTCTTTGATTTTTCTCTTATAATTTTTGTCTGACAAGTTTTCAAGCAATGAGGAGTTGTATGCTTTTCTAGCAAAGCCAACTGTGTTTTTCTTCTTCGTCTTCTTCTTTTATTGGGGTTCGCCTGTTACAAATGGAGGAAACATAAATATCACACAAAATAAATATTTTTTATTGATTTGAATGATTTCCAAGCTTGATTTTTTTCTTTTATTTTCTCAGGAACAAATCAATATCTTTAAATGGCCACTCTGCTTCCATATTAGTAATGGAATTTAATTAATAGTTTCTTTTTTTTTTTGCACTACGCAAAATTTTGTTCAAGTAAAAATTTAGATTGTTTACATTTAATTTAATTTAATTTAGATTCCTCTAAATTAGTTAAATCTTGATTCAAACTGATGTATTAACTTTTAAGTACTTCAATACCTCCATGGTTGACTGTGAATGTGATGTCACACTGGTTCAAAAGAAGATTTTAATGATGACCATTCTTTTGATCTGAATTCAACAGTGCTTCATTTATTGTATTCAATCTTTGCCCGTGACGCATAAATATTGCACTTACAAATTTTTCTTTTTCTGTCTATATATTAAATTATCTTACTAACATACTTCCATGTTTTTGCTGCTTCAGGGACTTACAAGATTACAGTTTGCAAGGATGATAAAGACTCTTGCTTTGACCCTTTAATGTGAAGATGATCGCACCTTTTCTTTGAAATTTTGATGGGTTTTTCTCTATCAGTCCAGTTTGTATCTAGTTTATGCAAAATTTAGGTTTTGGGGTACTGGGTTAAAATTCTGGGTTTCGATCAACAATTATTTGCAAGTGAAGAGGATGTTAGAGACTGAGCTGTGTTCTTCTAGGATTCTTTCACCTTTTAGAGAGGAGAGTGGTGATGAAGAGCTATCTGTGCTTCCTAGGCACACTAAAGTCGTTGTCACTGGAAATAATAGAACAAAATCTGTGCTGGTTGGTTTGCAAGGCGTAGTCAAGAAGGCTGTTGGTCTTGGGGGTTGGCATTGGCTGGTATATTTTCTTATTCCTTTTCCTTTTTCACGTTCACCTTTTTATTCGGTAATTAGTCAGTCAATCAATCATATAAAATTAGTATCCTTTGTCTTGTTTACTAATTCAATGTTCATTTGATCTGGTTTTTTTATCCCTATACGTCTCTTCTTTGTTCAGCATTCATTTGGGTGGAATATTTGGGCTTATTCCTCCCTAGTTCTATTGAAGAACTAAAAAAAAATGTTTTGGTTTTGGATTTTATTATGTTTGTCCATGTTGTAGAGGACTGTGCAAAATTTCCTGATTTAAAGTTATTGGACTGAGGGTTAAAAGAGGGGAAAAAACAACACTAGACGTTTATTTACACCGTGTTTGGAACCAATCACATGTTAAATTGAATGCAGTTTAGATTTGCATGTAATGGGAAATTAATGTTTTTTTGTAGATCTCATTCGTGTTTGGTTTTATCCTTTCCTTATTCGAGGTAGGGCAAGCAAATCATATATAAGTAGACTGTTTATAGATTTAAATATCAATTCTCCTCCAAGAACCCAAAATAAAGGTCCAGATAGTAATTCTTCAGCCGCAAGCACAAAACTCGATCTTCGTCCTCCATCTTTTAATAGGTCAAACAACCCATGTCTGATGTAAGTAAGCTCTTGTTAGCAATATTTTGTGTGTTTGGTAGAGTAGTGCTGGTGCTTTTCAATTGAAAATACCATCAAAATGATGTTTATTCAAAAAAAATTATTTAATTTTCACATGAACACATTAAAACCTTCGAAAAACACATTCGAAAAGCAGTTTTAAAAGCATGGGTAAAAAAGCAAAAGCTAACGCCCCTTCATAACTGCTGAATTTTGATTGGTGGTATTTTGTTTCCACCAAGTAGTTTAACCTCATTAATTTCATGTTTATAAAATTTATTAAAGGGTACTCAAATTTAAAATCGCAGGTTTTGTGTTTGCATAACATGTGTGCTAACACAAGGCTTGTTTAGAGATTTTTCTATTTTTGTTTATCCTAAAAAATTCTCTCTTGTTTCTCTTTTGATGTAGTAAATTTGTATGATTTGGTTTTGTTTCTTTGGAAGACCTGAACTTTAAACATACCTTCCTAACAAGGTACAAAAAAACACGCTTAGATTTATTGTATGATTCATGGCTACATTTTCTAAAGCTTTATTGAGCTCTGTCGTTTGTTCTTTATCTGTCACCAATATGGTTCTTGTGAAGTTTACTTGTAAATCTTGAATGCTTGCTTGGTCATGCAAGGTTTTGAAAAATGGATCTGAAGTTAAGCTTCAAAGGAATGCATTGAGCGTACTGGAACATCCTACAGGGAATGAAGTGGATGATGATAATGATTTTGATACCAGCAGTGGCTCTGACATTGGTGAACATGATTTCTGTATGCATCTAATAAAAAACCATGTTTAGTTTGATTTCATATTTGTTGATGGTTATTTGAAACTTGTATCTTCTCTGATATTGTTTTCCCTTGGGCAGACAGGGGCAGTGAGTTCCATAAAATTAGCAAGCCAAGGGTTCGACCAGCCAGGCCATGGGTTCCGTCTGCACCTGTAAAGTCAACAAATCGGAACAGTTACAGAGACGTTCAATCTATTATTCACGCCCCCCTGCCGGTAAGGGATATCTGAACCACTTTCTTGAATTCCTTGCTATGTTTGAGTTGGGGCATTCATTATTCATCAAACATCATGCATGAAGGTTTATAGTTTTGTGAAGACTGCCTTTAACAAACATATGTTGATGCATTAGACGGTGAACTTAGGAAGGCTAGGAACTGAATCACTGCAGAGATATTGCAAAGAATTCAAACTTGTGAGTCTCATCACCCTACTTGATTCTTTCATTCAGCCACTAGAAGTTCTAGACAAATTTTTAACTCAGGCTACCCAATTTTAAATTAGCCGGGTGTGAACTCCGAGTCATCAAGGGAACGGATACTTAATGCTGCCCAAATTCATTTTCCATCACAGGTTTGTCTCTCCACTCCCCCCTCGTCCCCCCTGCTTCTCCAACCCCTCTCTTGCACTTTCCTATCTAACATTTGTATTCATGCAGCGACCATTGAACGAGGTGCAAGTGGTAGCGGAATTCACTCGTGTGGCAAAGAGACTGAAAGAGAAGGACGGCCCCTCTGATTGAAAATCCTGAATTCACAAGGCCTTGTATAATAATAATATATATATTATTAACCCTAACCTTTAGCCTTATCCTAATTATATACTGATATGTGAGTGGTTAATTGGAAGACCTTATTCTTTCTCCCCCGGATTCGAACCATGTAAAATGGCAGACCCCCTAGTTAATTCCGCTAGATGCTTCGAGTTCCATTATTTAGAATTGCTTCCTTAGTTGATCACAGAGATGTGGATGATGTAAATCTGGCTTTTGGGATAGATCAGGTCTCTGATTGTAGAGCTGTTGAATTGTTGGGCCGCAAAGCAATCAAATCAAGAAGGATCAAGTTGCAAGAAATAGTGAATCCAGGGTCTGAATTTAATAAATCAAAGGTTGGAAAAGGGGCAAGAATAGACGTGAACGTTGAGTTTTATTCTTTTGGATCATTCTAAAGTTCCATGAAGAATAGACAGGTTTCCCGGAGGATATTTCTTGGTTCACAGGAAACCAAACAGATCACTGGGAGGAGAAGCAGCTCCTCAATCATGTTAAGGTTTGGTAGGGATTCCAGACTGGAAATCGAGTCACGAGATCTTTTGCTGCGGTAGGGAATCTGATGTTGACTTGAAGGTTAATTGGTTATGGATGGATGTCATTGGGAACGATGGGTGTGCCAAATATAAGCCCGCCAATGACTTGCTCCCCTTTTCCTTTTTCTGGGGGGTCTGAACTTCCTATTTGATGTCGCTGCTCCATTATTATTCTCTTGGCTTTACAAAGTCCACAAACTTGTGACCACTCGTCATAATACCAGCCTAGTCATTCACATTTTACTGTTCATTGTGGATTAACTCAATGATTTTCTTTCTTCGATTAAAGGCCAATTACTTCTAATTTGTTGATGAAGAGAGAGATTGAAAGTTAGGGACCCGCATACAAAGGACGGAAAAACAGGGTGGTCTTCTCAAAATTTATGTGAAAAGGTCAACTTTGATGCTATTACTTTTCAATTGATAGCATTTCAGAAAATCTTGTTTGCTAAAATAGTTAAAATCATCCATATTAGCTTCAATTATAGTTATCAAACCCTTGAAAGTTGATATGAGAGTTGACCTAGTCAAAGAGTTGGGTTTTGGGTTTTTTGAACTAATTTTGATAAACTCAAGACTTAGAAAAAATTTAATAAAAATATTTAAAATTTTAATATTTTATATGAAAAAAATATGAATATAGGTTATACATGTTGTAAATAATAAAGTATAAAAGGATATTTTAAAAAGTTTTTTATTCCATGTTTAATGGATATTATATTATCCTTTTAAGTTGAAATATTTAAATAAAAAAAATTATACTATATTAAAAAATATATAATTTTTTTTATGTGAGCATGGTGAATATATATGAAAAGAATTTAAATCCTATATTTAAAAAAACATAACTTTATTTTCATGAACATAAAATATATATATGAAATGAATTTAAATTCCACATTGAAAAATATTTTTTTTATTTGAAACATAAAGTATATATACTAAAAGATTTCAAATACCACATTAAAAAAATAAAATATTTTTCAAATATTTATATAGTAAACTTTAAAAGTGTTGATAACCAACTAAGGAAAAAATGAAAATCAAGAGGTCTGGGAGAAGAACCATATTTAAAAAAAAAACTGGGTCTCGTTCGAGTTCGCTCGGGTCAAAGATTTACCTATAGAGTCAATCGAGTTTTGCTGAGTTGTTGCATCAGCTTGTCTTTTAACAAACCAGGATTAGTCTAGCCACTGGGTCAACCGGGTCCTGAGTCAACCTACCAGGTTGATCCAGGTTTAATAATTATGATGTCAGTAGATTTTATTAGAAGAGGAGAGTTGTATGGGGGTGTTTTTTCACTTTCACATTGCATGAGAAAATAGACTTAACATTAGGAACTTTATGAGTTTTCAGTTGATTTTTTATTTTTTGACCGATTTTTGAGTTATTTGAAAGAATAAATAAGTTCACTTAAGTATTTTAGTTGTTTTTGGGTTAAAACTGGTTGAATTTTTTTTTTTGAAATGTAAAACACCCTTGACTTGATTTTTCAGAAACCCTTAGTCAACGAAATTAAAGTTATAAACGAGTATTGTATGCTCATTTTACTTGAAAATATGCCTACTTTTCTTTGAATTGCTTTTTGGTCCTTCTAGTTTTATTTTTTTAGTCCAAAACTTAATTTTATTCATTTTATAGTATTTGATTTCAAGAGGTAGGAAAGAAAGACATAAATTACAAGTGAAAAGAAAAGAAAATTATCGTTTAACTAGATTTCAATAATAAAAAAATTAATTTTGATATCAATAAGTTTTTTATAAGAAGAGTTCTATCAAGGTGTTTTATAATTTTTATTTTGCTAGGAAAAAGAAGATGAGAGATCGGGAAGATTTTTAAATTTGAGTTGATTTCAATCTTTAACTATTTTTTTTTCTTAATTTAAGTCTAAAAATAAATTTGTTTAAGTTTAAAGGGTGTTTTTTTAGATATTTTCAGCTTAAAAATATATTTGTTTTAATTCTAAAAGTTGGAAACTTGACTTTCCGCTCAGTTGAGGTGGTAAGAATTAAATAAGATGACGTGTTATTAACTTTTTTTTATAAAAAATTAAGGATGTCTGCCTCTTTTGTCAAAAAAATAAAATAAAAATACAAAGTTATTAGCATCGACATGCCATTGCAAGCCTATGTGCACGATTTTGGGTTAGGTGTCCAGCCTTTGTTCCTCATGGCCATAGGGTGTTTTTTTCTATCAAATTATATTAAAATTGTTATTTTTATTATGTATTATCCAGTTTATATTTTGTTTACGAATGACATTACATCGATTTTTATATACATATAAAATTACCAAACTTTTTTTTTGCCCGACAACCCTTGGTGATTTGTTTTTTTTTTTAGATTTTATTTGTGTACTTTTTTGCATTTATTTTTTATTATCACAGGATTGCATGAAAAACAAGCTTCACGGGAAACAATAATTTTCAGTGTATTATTTTATTTTATTTTTATTTTTAAATATCCACGACTTATAAACTCGTTGATGATGCTCACATGTTTTTGCATCCAAATATGCTTCTGATGATCCGTTACGGAACGGGTCGCCCGGGTAGGTTAGCTACAATCCAATTAGCCGTGCTGTGGATGTATTATTTTTTGATTGATCGAGGCTTGTGATGGAGTGGGCCTTTATAATTCCAATCCAATGGCAGATGGGTGTTCTTTAAGCCCATCCAGGGAGAGGCGGTTCAAAACCCGGAAATGACCCACGAATCAGGTCCCAGGCATAACCTAGAAATTTAAATAGTCCTCTGGGCTATCAAACCCATGCACAACAAGTTAGATTATATGAGGTAGTAATTGGACCGTTTCATGTCACCATAAACAAGGATTGCAGGTTGGTTTTTGGAAATAATAACGTTTACCATGCCAGTTTAGCTAAAGAGAGTGTTTGGAATTTCGATTGAACCATGTTCTTGAAAAACTTTATTTTTTAATTTTTTAATGTGTTGCTATCGAAAATCAATTTTAAAAAATAAAAAAATTATATTATTTTAATATATTTTTAAATAAAAAAATCAATAAACAATCCCAAAGTTTCTCAAACAAGTGAGTCAGTGAAATACTGTCACACAATTTTTGTTTATATATGCATGGATGAAACCAATCTATTTGCCGTTACTATTCTTTGGAATTAAGAATAATAATAATAAAAAATTTAAAAAACACTTTGTATTTACCAAATATATATCATTGATTGTACTTCTTTTCTTTTTTATTTTAAGGGCGAGATATTCTTGTTTTTATATTTTTTTTTGTTAATAATAAGTATTTGAATCTATTTGCATGCATCTCAATTAATCTTTTAAAATTAATAATTATATAATTTTTTTGCAATTTTGAGATTTATAATATTTTTAAGAAATAAATCTATAAACTAAACAATTAAACTATACCTTAAAGATTAGATTTCCCTGTTTTGCACCACGAAGAGGATGTTGTCAGGGATTGGAGTGGGTGGATGATGATGATCCAGCAGAATATGGGGATGGTTGATGTTAGTGTGTCTGGGTTGCATACTGATTTCCCTGTCTTGGTGGGCATTTCACTGACGATTGGCGGTGAAAAACGATACATGAATGATGATTTAGGTTTTGTTGGCATCGTGTTTGTGCGTATAAGATTTGAGCTTCAGCCCTTTGTTCCTGATTTTATTGCCATTCTTTTTAGGGATATTGATATTAAAAAAAAAAAAGAATTGTGTAAATGTTGATAACATAAAAGAATATTGCATTGGGTGTTGCTGTTTTAAGGATAGTTAAGTCGTTATATTGAGAAAATAAAATGTTAAAAAACCTCCTTGCTCCTGTTTATTTTAAAGGTAAATTAGTAATTTTATTATGTAATGAAAAAATAAGAAACAAATTTATCTTATTCAATTTTGTAATGTTAATTGAATTATCACGTGAAAAAACTATTTTTCCTTGTAATTTATGCTTTATTAGATTGTAATATAAATAACAAAAATATCATTCTACTAATTTTAGGCCACCCTATCCCAAATTGCTTCCCCTCTCGTGTGGAGAAAGAGAGAAAGAGATTTAAAGACTTGATATTCTACGCAATTAATTATCTCATCTCAGCACTTCTAAATAAAATCTGGTCATACAAATTAATAACAATGACTAAAAAAAATAAAACATTAAGAAATAGATATAAATCAAGATATTTAATTTTGTTAAATAAAAAATTTACTTGTTTATATCTATTAAATTTATTTATTAGAATCAATAAAGAATAATAATAATAATAATAATAATAATAACAGATATGAAAGTTAGTTAATAAAATAAAATAAAAGAATATTATGCAGGGCTGAAAATATTATTTCCAAATAATTATTTTAATTTTATAAAATAAAACTTATTTGTATAAAATAAAATTAAAGTTAAATACAAAACATTTTTTTTCAAGAAAACCACCATTCAAAAAAAGCTCGCAAATTCATGACTTAGATCACAAAACTGAGATAAACTATTAGAAAAAAATTAAAAATAACTATAAATTATTTTTATTAAAAAATAATAATATATAATGATAAAATCATAAAAGAAAATGATAAAAAAATCCCTAACAATATTAACACTTAAAACTCACGGCGTGTATCATTAAATCGAAAGCACGACAGTTTAAAAGACTACAAAGTCTAATTCTAAATAGATCAAATGCTAAAGGATAAAACCGGAGGAAAAATTTCAATCACACAAAAAAATTATAATTAAAAGAATAAGGGTAGAAATAAAAATAAAAAATAAACTAGAGGGCATTAACAAAATTTATATTGGAAGGCTAGATTGAAAAGGAAAAAATTTTAACTAAAGAAAAAAGAAATGAAAAGAATGATGACTAAATTAAAAAAAAAATAAACTACATAAACTTTTACTAGTGATAAAATTGAAAACCAATAAAATCTTAACAAAAAAGTTAGGGAAAAAATAGAAATCAAAAGAATAAGTAGTGAATTGAAAAAGAATAATATATAATAAATTGTAATTTTAGGACTAAATTGAAAAAATAAAAAACTTTTCTAAAAGAGTGACAGACAAAAATAACCAATAAAAATCACAAGGACTAAAATTAAAAAAGGGAGGGAGAGAGAGCATGCTTGCACTTTTTATGGAAAAGATAGAAAAAAAAAGAAAAAAAAAGATACTAGCACCAATAATAAATTGTCAATCATTTATCGTCACACGCCACATCAAAAGAAAAAAGATGTAGTGGTGCTTGCAAGGATATGATGAAAAACTAGGTTTAATCATTGGGCAGCGTTGCATGTGCCAATCAAAGGGCACAGATGCCACCCACACACTGACAAATCATGAGTATGCATCAAGAGATTTTCATAATTAAAAATTGAAAAATCAACATAAAAATACATAAACACTTGTTATAACTAGGTTTGATCACGGGACAACATTGCATGTGTCAATTAAAAGACATGGATGTCACCTACGCACTGACAAGCTATGAGTATACATTAAAAGATTTTTAAAATTAAAAATTTAAAAATCAACTTAAAAATACCTAAACACTTCTTATAACCTTAAAAATTACAAATAAATTCGTGTGGAAGAATAAAAACACCCTTTAATCCACATATATTTTTCTAGGTGAAAAGACATATTTTAATTGCAATTTAAGAGTGGAAAAACTAAGAAGACTCTTGGTCACCAGTGCAGCCAAGATTTTTTAAACAAAGGGATAAATTACTAATAATTTTTTGACATTATAATTTAGCAACCCAACTAAAATAAAATTAATTTAAAAATATTTTTAAAATAGAAAAACTTATATTATAATTATTATCTTCGAGATTTTATATTTTAAAACTGCTTCATAATGATTTTATTTTTAATCTCATTAAAAATATTTTTCTCAATATATACAACAAACTTTCATTTATTTATTTATAAATCTTTCAAGAACTAGAAAAGTTCTTGACAATAATTTTATGTTGATATATGACATGTAACATTTAAAATCACAACTTAAAATGATCGTCACAAATTAATATTGTTCTTGCTTGCTTGTTGTTTTATACAAGTAGATTAAATATAAATATTAAATATTTTATTTTTAATTTATCTATTATATTCTTAATTTTTTTAGTTGTCCTGTACTTTATTTTTAATTACTTGTAAATTCATCACCATTATTTTTCATATGAGATTCATAACAAAATATTTATCAATTCATCAAAACTCATTTCAATTCATATCTATTAGTATATAATATTACCTATATACATATTAATTTAAAAAACTCATAAATTATTATAAACCTCAACATTTCAACAACTAATTATGAAGAAAAAAATAAAATTAAAATAATAAAATAAATAGAAAAAATAAAGTAAACTTTCATAAAATATAAAGCATAAGAGAGGTTACTTCTTTAAGTAATTGATAGCTTAAGGTTGGAAGAGAAATTTTGTAGAGAAGAGAGAGACAAAAACAATAATAAACAAAGAAAAAAAGTTGGATCAATTAGTAACTAATAAAGAAAATTATTTCTATAAAACAATTATATTAGTATTTTAAAATAAAAATATTTATTTTAAAAATTTAATAAGACAATTGCCACTTCCTGTCTTATTGTGGCTCCGCCAATAATTTTAATTTTTTTTGACATAAAGAGTGAATGAGTGATTTTATTATTATAAAGTTTGTAAAAGGATGAAGAAATTTATTGTCATTATATTTAAAATTTATTAATTTTGAAGTAAAGATATAATTTTACTGTTCAAAAAATTTGAAAAAGATTCAAATACCTCTAAATAATATTTTAATAACTATTAAACCAATAAAAAAATACCAAATTACATTCCCAACTAGAAGCTACTATTTTTTCCACTCGAGTATAAAATAGTTATTTTATTATAACAATACTCCATAAGATGTGTTACGCATAGAGTTTCTATTGGAGGAGGGAGCGTGTATAAAATTACACATAGAGAGAGCGTTCTTTTCGGTGGCAGTCGTAGCCGCGCACGAAAACACACCACCTGTTCCTTTCTACCAGAAAAAGAAAAGAAGAAGACGAAGACAAAGAAGAGAAACAAATGAAATTCCGTAAGCCTCTTTTACTCCCCTCAACATTCCAACCCCCCTCTCCCGTTCCATTTCCTAAAATCCTCTCTTTCCATCTCATCTCTCTCTTACAACAAATTCCACTTTCTACTGCTATTTAAGCTTAATTAGCTACCTATTTTGGTGATTTGTTTTCAGGTTTTCTTCAATCATTCAATCAATACTTTCTTATTCGGTGATTTTGTTTTCTTTAGGGTTTTAGAGAACTATTTGCTTGTTTTAATTTTATAATAATTGTGATGTTGATCGTGGAAAGCAGAGTTGATGATCGGAGAGTAAAGAGAGAAGAAGCAAATGATGATGGCGGAGAAGCAGTGGAGGAGATAGCTCGTGCTAGTAGCAGCACTAGTAGTGGTAGAAGAAGAAAGAAAGATTATATGGGAGGTTGTTGCTGTGGTTCCTCTAGAGGAGCTGCTCAATCTAATAGCGCACCGCCTTATTATTATGTTAGTTCAATCACTTTCTTGCCCTTTTTTTTAAAAAATTAGAAATCTATATGATAGGATGAATAGTAGAATCAAATGTTGGATGGACTTTTTTTTTTTTGCTGCTAATGTTCTAGCTTAGGTTATTAGAGAATTCGATTCAGTTAATGAGATGTCCATGTCTTTTAGTCTTCCAGAAATTACGTGATGGATTTATTGGAATGGATGAACTATCGTTGTCGTGGTTGTGAGATCATTTAGAGATATTTTATTTGTTAGTATCATTGTGCTCGTCGGCATGTTGCTGATGGTAAGTTGGATAATCTGTTGTTAGCCAAGATATCGAAATAGATTCTGTTACTTAGAGAGACTAGGTTTACTATTTTGTTATATTCATCGCATCTGGTTTTCTTGTTTGGTGTGCAGTACCCCAGAGCACCAGCAGAGCATGTCCCATTGTCATCTCACCATGCAGCTGGGTCTGCTCTATCCACAGGACTTCTGGTTGATACGAACCTGGACACATCAGTTCCTGATGCTTATAGACCACCTCCTGCACCTATGCCATTTGATGTGGCAGTAGGACATCTTCAAACCCCGCATAGGTCGAGAGAGACTTGTGGTGACAAGAATGATGGAGCTTTGCAAATAACAAATTCTGCTTCTGGACAAGAAAACACTGGCTTGAATACTCGGGAAACTTCAGCTGAGTGTGAAGATGTGAAGGAGTTAGACTGCAAGGCGCAAATCAATTCAGAACTTGATGCGGTGAAGGAGCTAGAAATTGAGCTTTTAAAGGCAGTTGAGCCTCTTGTTTCAGCAACAGAGGAGGAGGATTGTCCTATCTGTCTGGAAGGTATAATGCCTTTACTAAATCCTTTCCATTAATTGCATGTTTGTGGCTGCTTATGGCAGTGGGATTGTATCTATGATTTGGCTGTTTTAGCTGCATTTTACGATCTCTTGTGCAGAGTATGACTCAGAGAATCCAAAACTTATCACAAAATGCGAGCATCACTTCCATCTTTCATGCATTCTTGAATGGATAGAAAGAAGTGAGAGTTGTCCTGTTTGTGACAAGGTTTGCCAAACTATATTTTGATTTTTTTTCTTTTAGTTTAGGGGATTTTCTTAAAATGCTTGATATCCACATGGTTCTGTTTCTTTCTCTCTCTCCCTCCCACACACACACGCACACGTTGCAGGAAGTGATAATCGACCCTCCTATTGAGTAGTAGCTGTGCAGAAAACATGTTGAAGATCAACTTCTTAGGTGTTTGAAATCATGTTTGTGAAGCAAAAGTTACAAATGCATGAGTGCTTGCCACAGATTTGGCTGTAGCTATTTTTTTTGGTTCTTTTTTAAGAGTCGTTGCCTACTTCAATGCTTGCTGTTCTGTGTCCTCACTTCATCAAAGCTTCAGATTTTTCAAGGAAATGAGAAACAAAAAAAATAAAATAAAATTGGGAAGGCAGGGAAGAAGATGAGAAGAGAGGATAGAGGCTGGTCGTACATCATCATGGATGTCCATTACTTAGTCGTTATAACAGAACAGCAGGTGGGCGTTTTCTTTCCTTCTCTGTCCTAGTATAGCTTTACTGCAATTCATACCCTGAAATACTCTTAGGAGTTGCTTTCTTTCTCCTTCAACCTTTTAAATTGTTATGTAAATCTTATATGGTCGTTTTTGTCTAAATTCATCTGTTTGTGAGTTTGATTGGTAGTGGGGGATTGATTGATGCCAGGAAAGTTTGGGAAGGATCAAAAGAAGGGCTTTTTGTTTAGATAAATCGTGTAAATAACACTCTGATTTACACGTCAAGGTTTTATTTTGTTGATATGCTGATCAGTCATTTGTTGGTCATTAATTTTGATTATTACTCTTCTGACTGCATCAAAAGGGTGAAATCTATATTTAACTTCACGTGCATTCATCGGCTGGTTTGAGATTAGCAACTGGATTTGCTAGAGTTAATCGACACTGGAACTTGTGATGATGGTCCAGGTCAATCATGGGTACAGGTAGCGTGCCTTCTAATAACCCAAATGTCTTTGACTCATTTTACTTTTTTGTTGTGCCCCATGAAGAAAGATAATACTTGCCCTTTAGAAAATTGCAGTTAGGTCACTTCAGCTTAATGTTGTTTACTCATCAATTGGTTGGCAATGTGACCATGATTTTAACTTGATAGTATTTACTCTATGCAAGTCCTAAATATTGAAGTATGCCTTTTATCTCGTTTAGAATCACCGAGGCCACCTTTCTGTTGAAACTCATTATGCTTTCTTTTTAAGCAAGAAGAAATGGAAAGTTTACTTTATCACAATTGTGTAAATATTTCTTTAGATGAGTGATTGTAAAGCAACCTCCATAATTTGTTTCCAGACGTTTGGTCTTTTTCATTGTTTACTTTCTCACGTCTGACTTCCAATGGTCCAATAATATTTTTACCTTTTTGTGAGACCTATTGAATAACCAAAGGAAAATCCATGTACCCAAGTTGCTCTTTTAGCATCGCCCCGGTATTCAACCCGCGAGGCTAAAGGAGGGTGGAGTTGATTTTTGGGAATTCATCTCGCCATTTGAAGTTTGAACTCTGTGATCTTTTGTTAGATATGAGATTTCGTTGGTCGGTGTGATCGGCCAGCCATCTTTAATAGTTCTCTCTTCCACCGTCAGAAGACCCGTTCATTGTATAAGAGGCTTCCGGAATGCTGTGAAGCAACTTGGAGTAGGCATTTAATCTTCCATCAATCACGAACACTATAAGATGCCATGAATCTTACGCATGTGAAGCCATTGATACGTCTTTCTTCTATCTCCCTTCTAGTCTTCTGCAATAATTCAATGACCAGAAAAAAATACCCAAACAATCGGTACAAGCCCAGGTAGGAGCATTGAAGCCTCTCGTGTTTGTGGATTTTTTTTTCCTTTCGTTTTTGCTGTACTGTTATCGTTTCTATTGGCGCCATCATCGTCCAGGTGAGATGCGTCCAATTATTTGAGACATCTTTGGAAAATCTCGGAGTATGAATAACTGTCCCCCGAAACATTTATAGATATCAAAGCAGAAACTTCATGAGGCTTAAGTTTGAGATGCTTAGGCGCTATAGCCACAAAGACTCAGATAGAATCTTTCTAGCATGCATGTTAAATGAAATAGGAAAAAAAAATATGAAAAAAACTAACTCGTGCCCTTAGGGCATGTGTTAAGGACATCCATTAAGCTTTATTTATTATTAATTTGTGTTAAAAAAGGAATAAAAATAAAAAGATTTAAATAAAAATCAATGTTATTTATTCAATACATTAAATAAGTGCTGTTTTTATGGAACAAAAGAGCATATTGTGATGTTTATAATAACTTTTAAACAAAAGTGAATATTGTGATTTATTATAAACATTACACGAAGCTTAACTAGTATATTAAAGGAACCTTTATCTAAAAAAAAATATTTTTAATTGTTGTCATGTCAAGTAGTAGATGCTTGATGAAAGTTCTCAATATGTCATCTGTATTCAGATTATTATACAATAAATTAAAAAAATGGGCAATTTGAAACTTGCAGGGCATTATGCAAGTGTGCGGACTACATTGTTTATTTCTACAATTCTTTTTTCATTCCTATCATACAACTTAATTTTCTTGCATTTTCATCATTCCAAGTCATATTAGTTTGGTTTTATGCATTGAGAATTCCTTTGCTTTGCATGTCCTTACATGTGCAAATTGTCAAAAAATAAAAATAAAAATAAAAATAATTTCTGGCATTAAATTAAAGATCAATGTGATGAAATAGAATTTTAAGTTGTAGTTAAAAAAATCAAAAGAGCAAGGACAAGATTTAACATGAAAAAAAACAGAACCCTTTTCATTTTTATCACATAAAACTTCTTTGTGTATTTATTTGGTCCCTTTTGTTTTAACTTTTTACATTTCAACTCCAAACTTTATTTTTTTATATTTTAGTTCTTGGATGTTAAAAGAGGAGAGAGTGTGTTCAAAAGATGATATTTCAGTCATAAGAAGATCAGTTTGGTTTCAATTGATTTGTTTAAAAAAGAAGAGTTCAATAAAGATGATTAAATGCTTCAAAATGTAGATTAGAATCCGCTAATTTTATTTTGATTTAGGTTGTTTAGCGATTTTAAATGAATTAGACGATGTTTTAAGCTTGAAATTGACTTTATACATATTTCTAGGGTCTTTTTTAGATTAAAACAAGTTATAATTTAGAGTGTTTCAACACTTAATTCTTGATTGTTTACCCATTGAAGATGGCTAAAATTTTCACCATAAGTGGACACGTCGTCCATTCAATAAAAAAATTAAGATAAACAAAACATAATATGCTCATTTAATAAAAAAATAGTATCATATGTGTATGATATCTTTGTCAAATATCTTTAAATAATTATTTTTTTGTTGAAATAATATAATTTTTTAAAAAGATTTTAATCGTTGTTTTTCCATGAATATATATTTTAATTTTTACAATTCTAAATTTATTTTTTCTGTGATAATGTGTGAGAAATGTGCTAGTTTTGTCTAAATATATCCAATGATGAAGCTAGATGTGTGTTGCTGGAGGCCAGGGAGTATTGGACAACCCCACACATGCAGGCGGAACCAAGGATGCGGTCTTCAAGCAGGCAAAAGATGAGCGAATCCTCCCGTTTCTACTGCCTCCTTCATTTTACTTATACAAGCTCTGCACTAAGCGAGACATCCAAGTTTGATGTTTCCTCCGGCACTTTTTTTTTTTTTTTTTTTTCTTGGTTAATTTTTAGAAAAAATTTTCAATGCAGAAATAATAAGAGAAATGATCAAAAATTATTAAATGATCATAAATTTATCAAATCACGTCAGAAACATATTTTTTGAGAATTTGGTATTCTTCATATTTAAAAAAAAAATGAAAAAAAGGGTAAAAAACCAAGTTACGATATATAATTTGGGTCATTTGAATTTTTGATGAGTACATTGATATAAGATGTTTATGAATAGCTACATTAATATGAGGTCTTAATTAAGATGCTGATTGGTAAACCCTAGATATTCATGGAAAGGAAGCGTGTTTTGGTTTTTCAACTCCTTTTCTTTTTTATTTTGGTATTCTGTGGGATCGTTGATCAGCTTCTCTGTTTTTAAACGAATCCTTGAGGTCTTTTTGTACGTACCGTCCACATTCCTCTCAATCAAGATGTGACCAAGTGATAAAAACTTGAAATTAAAGAGCTTGCTCTCTCTGTGATCTCAGGTTCGAGTCCTTGGTTGCTCATATGATGGCCACTGGAAACTTATATGGTCGTTAACTTCAGGGCCCGTGGGATTAATCGTGGTGCGCGTAAGCTGACCGGACACCCACGTTAATCTAAAAAAAAACATGTGACCGTCTAGAAGCGTACTGTCTAGGGTTGCGTCATAATCCAAGGTTATATATATATATATATATATATATATATATGTTTAAAATATAAAATAAAAATTCCTCAATTTCTTACTTGCAGTGCACGTAAAAAATAATAATAAATGTTTTTTAAATATTTTGTTTATAATTTTGTTTAAAGTTCATATTCAATTTTAAGCCGGAGCCTACACAGTGCCATATATATTTTTCATTGTGTAAAAAGCAATTTTTAGTTGTGACACATGTTTCTAAAAAATAAAAAACTTGAGTTATAGTCTCAATTAAGTTTAATAAATTAGTTTTATTTTAATCAGATTATAAAAAATAATGACAATAATAAATAAATAAATTATTTAAAAAAAATAACTTAAAAAAAACCTTTGAAAATATGTAATTGAATGAAAAAATAATTTCTAGATGCGACACATGTTTCAAAAAAAATAAAAAACTTGAGTTATAGTCTCAATCGAGTTTAATAAGTTAGTTTTATTTTAATCAAATGATAAAAAAAAATAACAACAATGATAAAAAAAACAAATCATTTAAAAAAAATATGATAACTTAAAAAAAATCCTTTGGAAATATGATTGTTGTTTATAATTTTTACAATTAACCTCCCTGTGGTTCGACCCCGGTCTTGCCGGGTTATTTATTACTTCGACACTCCTGCACTTGGAGAAGACATCAATCTTTTAGTCGTGTCAAAAGTCAACCCTGGTAAATTTGTAAAACATGTAGCCCATGTTATGAGATCAAGATAACTTGATAAAAAAATTTAAAGAAAACCACAAAGCTATTCAAAGAAAATTAATGTTAAACAATTAAATTGAAAAAATAAAATAAACAAAAAATTTTTTTTTGACTAATTAATGTTAAACAATTAAATTGAAAAAAAAAAAAAACATTGACCCACATTAACTTTTCAAACTCGTGCTAGGGTCATTAAATCAGAAGTATTATCAATAAAAAAAATTATAAAACTCAATTCTCAACAAATCAAATGTTGAATGATGAAATTTAGGAAAAAATCAACTATATAAATGAATTTAAAATATAAATAGAAAATAAAAGAATGAAAGTGAAAATCAAAATAAAAAATAAATTAGAGGGCAAAATAATTTTTTTAATTGGTGGGTTAAATTGAAAAGTAAAAAGAAATAACAAAAGGATAAAAAAAATTAAAAGAACAAGGACTAAATTATAAAAGAATACACTATAGACTAAGCTTGAAGGATAAAATTGAAAACTATAAAATTTTTGACAAAAAAGCAAAGAAAAAAATAAAAATTAAAAGAATAATTAAATTAGAAAAAAATATATATTACAGATTAGAATCAAATGATTTTAACAAATGACTAATGATAAAAAAGAAAGGACTTGAGTTCAAATATCAAGAACAAAGGATCAACTTGTATTTTTCAGGGTATGAGAGAAAAAAAAAGGATTGACCGGCAACAAACTGCTCAACCTTCGCCCACACGTGCTTCGCCAGAAGGAAAATAATATGGTGGTGAATCCAATAACACAGCTGAAGTGTAATTTTTTCCAAATGGACATTAGACAAAGTTTGTGAGTATCTCCCACGCGTCAACAACTTTTTCAAATTAATTAATAATTACTTGATATTAAAAGATAAGAATTTCTTTGATTACCCTGTAATTACCAAAAAGCTAAAGGAAAAGACCAAAAACCCCTAAACCTACGATTATTATTTTTTTCTAAGAGCATACCTGTCAATTTACTATACAAAATTAAATGAGAAGACATTTATATCCTTTTATGCGAGTTTTATATCTTTTATTCTAGTGATAATCAAGTCATTTTACTATGCTTAAAAAAAATATAACTATACCCCAAAAATTATTTGATAACTAATGTGCCATATAAAAATACCAAAACATTCTAATACAAAGGCAATTTTTTTTATAATAAAAAAATCATTCCATTATTGTAGTGAATAATACATTGAGTCTAAAAAAATTCTATAATAGAAAATATATATATATATATATATATATATATATATAAAAGGGAGTCAATTCACAATATTAGTGAGTGTTTGAAAACGTGGTAGGTTTTATGGTTGGAGTTTTAAAAAATATAGGTATAAGAAAAATATTTTTAATTGTGGTTTTAAAATATATGTTTAGTTAAAATTGTTGTGAGATAGATTTTATCATGTAAAATAAATAAAAAATATATTATTTTAACTTTTACAAAATCAAGATTTTAACCCAATTTTATATAAAATCTAATGTAAAAAAATTATTTAATTAATCAAATTTTGTTTTCAAAAAAAAATAATAAAAGCTAACACAGTAGAGACATTTTTAATAAATGCTCCGGTACACTTTTTAACACAATACAGTTGTTTTAAAGATTACTAGATGGCATGCCTATATACTGTTATAGATTTATAGAGCAAATATGCTTGATGGTGTTATAATTATAAACCAATGCTAGATAGGCAATAGAAACTGAAAGTACAATAAAGTCATTATTCCTTGAAGGAAAAACAGTTGTGTTGGTGATCAAAACTTAGAGATTAAATAGAACAAGTTATAGTAATCTACAGTATTTTGTGAGAAAAGTTACAGTGTTTTCCTCACATGATTTAGCTTTACTTGTAAAAAAAATATAAAATTAAATTTTCAACCACCTCAATATTAAAAAAAATAAAATCAATAAAGATAATTTTAGAAAAAGCATAACAAAAAAAAACAAGTAGAGAAATACTATAATAATCCACAATGTTTTGTGAGAAAAAATATAATACTTTCCCCACATAATTTAGCTTTATTGTAATTCTTAACCAGCTTAATATTAAAACAAAATGACAAAGATAAATTTACAAAGAGTCATAATATAATATTAAAAAAAAAATCGACAAAGATAAATTTGCAAAGAGTCATAATTAAAAAAATCATATGGAGAGAAACATTGTAGCAATCTACAATGTTTAATGATAACAAAAACAATAACAATATTTTTAATTTAACTCTTTAAATCAAATCTATGGTTATTTTTCAATATTGATAATAATTTATTTCAAATTTATTAATTATTTTATTAATAATATTAATTTCTTTCAAATTTATTAAAGTATTATAAAAATATTTATAATACTTTAATATTAATACTTTTAATTATAATAAAAATAACAATATTTATAATACAGATAATAATATTTAGAAATCTTAAACTCTAGAATCTTGGGTCTTAACATAAGACCCAAGTGATTTAGGTCCTGACACGGGACCCAAGCAAACCATTACCCTTGGATCCTTCGTTGGACCCAAGAAAATTGAGTACTGATAGAGAACCCATGAAAATTGGGTTCTTTGTAAGATTGATTAGTCTTGGGTCTTGACTTATGACATATATTAATAATATTTATAACACAAATAATATTATTTTTTCATATTAATACTTTTAATTATAATAATAAAAATAATATTTAGAAACTTAAGATTCTAGAACCTTGGGTCCTGATGTTAGACCCATTACCTTTGGGTTTTGACATTAGACCCACGAATGCGAGATCCATTAGTCTTAGGTCCATTACTAATTGGTCCAAACCTAGTGGAGCGGGTGTGCAAACCCCAAGCGTACTAATATGCACCTAGCGTGGTGGTCTCCAAACTCAGGCGCATAATTTTGCATACCTCAGACATGCGGTTCTGTAGACTCACTTGCGCTGGTCTGGAGCCAAGCACGCAGGTCTAACCCTAATATTTAGGGCAACAACCACAATACCATGTATCTGCAGCCTGAGGCACAATCCTACCCCCTTTAGCCCTTGGAAATCTATATGGTAAGGTATACAATCCTAACGCTAGGTGTCTGCAACACCACCATGCCCCATCAAAATTTTTGTTAACTGTTTTTGTCCAAATCATTTATTTAATGTTAAATGCATCCCAATAAAAATACAACCTCACCTTCCCTTGTAGTCTTTGAAATTCTTTATGATAAGGATGACTCTATCAATATACTACTTTAATCCATAGTACCATGAATCTTGATAAACAAAATTTTTACTAAAACTATTTCAATATATAATATAACAGGTCTTAATGAATAAAACTTTTCCCACAGGATTTAATTTTATGTATAATGTATAATATCTAATCATAAAATATATTTTTTGCAAGCATCAAGATAAGAATTTATTGAGTTTTCTTATCAATGAAAATAAATCTATATAATTTTTTTTTTCAAATGGGTAATAATAAAATATGCACCTAGCGTGGTGGTCTCCAAACCCAGGCACACAATTTTGCATACCTCAGACATGCGGTTTTGTAGACTCACTTGCGTTGGTCTGTAGCCAAGCATGCAGGTCTAACCCTAGGATTTAGGGCAACAACCACAATACCATGTATTTGCAGCCCGAGGCACAATCCTACCCCCTTTAGCCCTTGAAAATCTATATGGTAAGGTATAACAATCCTAATGCTAGGTGTTTGCAACACCACTATGCCCCATCAAAATTTTTGTTAACTGTTTTTGTCCAAATCATTTATTTAATGTTAAATGCATCCCAATAAAAATACAACCTCACCTTCCCTTGTAGTCTTTGAAATTCTTTATGATAAGGATAACTCTATCAATATACTACTTCAATCCATAGCACCATGAATCTTGATAAACAAAACTTTTACTAAAACTATTTCAATATATAGTATAACAGGTCTTGATAAATAAAACTTTTCTCACATGATTTAATTTTATATATAATGTATAATATCTAATCATAAAATATATTTTTTGCAAGCATCAAGATAAGAATTTATTGAGTTTTCTTAACAATGAAAATAAATCTATATACATTTTTTTTTCTTTTCAAATGGGTAATAATATGACCAATAATCGAGAATTTCCAAAATATATTTCATGAAAGATTTTTGGTAAATAATACTTGTACTCTTAGAATCACTATCCAAAAAATATTATCTTAGGTTATATAATATCCAATAGTTGGTTGCATATTTGCTAAAATTAATTTCAGGAAAAAATCTTCAATAAAATTAGTCTTTTCCTTTTCAGCCCACCACTTCTTACCATTTTCAAGGTTAATGAGGATTCGTAGTCAAACTCAAGAAAATCTTGTCTCAACTATTATAATCTCATTTAATATGTGTGTTGGAATGAAAAAAATATTACATTTATATCTAATTAATCCTACTTGTGAAATAAAATCTAAACTCTACTTTCGACATAAGCGATATAAGATCTCTATAAAATCTAAACTCTACTTTCGACATAAGTGATATAAGATCTCTCCCTCTCATACATACATACATATATATATATATATATATATATGTTCCGCAAGATGACGGCAGAGAAAAAGAATTCTTTTTATTGGATTTTGCTCTTAATTGTTTTTCCAAGTTCGGATTTTTTCAGTTAATTATCATTCCTTTTCTTGATTCTAATCTTAATTATCATCTACCCCCAAATCCTAGATTCTTCAATTAGATCCCAAAGTCCAAAACTTTTCAATTGTATTAGTGTGTGCTGGCACCCACTAATCCTTTTCTTTTTCTTCTATTTTTCAAACTCGCCAAGCCTCGAGATCTTCCTTTCCCTCATGTCCCCCCTCTCGAACTTTTTTTGGGCTGAATATATATGGCTTCAGAAGGGAAATCAACTCAAAACCAAGAAATGAGGTAATATCTTGAAAAACAAAGTAGAGTTAAGGTTGCCTGACACCTGCTCTTGTGCTGTCATATATGACCATGTTCAAGATTTATGTCTACTTTTAGTTCTCGTATCAGATACGTCTCTTAAATGCTTGATTTGTTGTCTTGACTAACATGGTAAAACGGAGCAAATAAAAAACAGAACTTTGTTGCTGTCTTTTTTCACGGATTTTCTTTATTTTTGTTGATTTGTGATTTAGAAGGAGGTTTGGTAGAGAAGGAAGGTTTTAAAAAAATATATAGAATTTGAAGCTCATGGCAGGATGGTCAATTTTGACAAATGGTTCTGCTTTAGATTGTGTTGATGATGTTATTAATATATTCAAGGGTGATGGTGGTTGTTGTCTAGATAGTAATCATCACGCGAAGGATGCTGAGGCTAAGGATTGCACTGCTGTTGATAATTCTGATGAGGATGATTATGAGTGTGAGGATAAAGTAATATGCTTGTTTGATGAACTCGTTTCAAAGTTTTTGAATGAGGCCGCTGAAGGAGGGTGTATTAGGCCTATTCCAGCATTGCTTGGTGATGGGCAATCTTTGGATTTGTTCAGACTCTTTTGGGTTGTGAGAAAGAGAGGTGGCTTTGATTTGGTAAACGGTTTTTGGAGCTTTGTGGCTAAAGAGTTAGGGTTAGATCTTCAATTTTCACCTACGGTTAAGTTGATATATATTAAGTACTTGTATGAGTTGGAAAAATGCATGAGTAGGAGTTGTAAAGAGGAAAAAATAAGAAAGGGGAAGCGTCAGTGTGATGGGAATCTGAGTTGTTCGTCATTGGAGCTAGAGATGCAGCTCAGAAGTTTATTACTGCATGGATGTGATAGAAAGCAAGAGGATTGTAAATTTGCTTCAGAAGTGTATGAGAAAAATGGCAGGTACGTTGAGATGGATTCTGGGAAGGGTAAAATGGGTTTGTCAGACACCAAAGCTGTACATCGAGTACACAATGGTGTTGGAAATAGGAATTGTGATTATGACAAAAATTTTCATGCTGAAAAAAATAATTATTTTAATGATAGTGATGATGATGTTGTGACATTGGATCCGAGCATTGTTAAGAAAGAATTTAATTCTCGCAAGAGAAAACGAGAATCTCTAACAAGAATGCTTAACTGGGTGATCCAAATTGCAAAATGTCCCGATGATCCTTCCATCGGAGTAAGATCACCACATTTTAAGTGGAAGGATCATAAAGGCAATGAGTTGTGGCTCCAAGCCATAAGGGCACGGGAAGCTCTCCTACATAGAAGGCATTGTGATCCTAACATTGAACAGTCACTCTTTCAGGTACATTCTATACTTTTACCCATTGTTTTAAATACCAATGCGAGGTTTTTGATTTTGGAATGGATTATCGGCCATTGCTAATTTTAAAATGCACAAGATAGTTATTATGGATCTGTTTAGTTGTTAGAACTAGCATTTTTTTTTTAATCATGGAGAACAAAGAATAGGAATTCCTATTCAAATGTTATATTTTTCTATTTGTCAAATTCATGGAGCCTGTAATATTTGACATAATTTTTCATAGTTTTCCTATATAAATTATTGACTATTTTCTAAATGGAAAACTAGGGTTTTCAAACTAAAATTAAAAACATAAGATTTCTTACCCTTATATGCATGCTTTAATTATAATAGAAAATTTCAAGATTATATATATATATATATATATATATATATATATAGTTGATATTTTTTTTAAAATTTTTCCAACAAAAATCTAACAATTTTTTGAAGAGTCATTGGTAGTTTATTTTTCCAACAAGTTTTTAGCTGAGTTAAAAAAAAAAATATGCAAAGATGTATATTTAAATTATCATAATTTTTTCTATGAAAAACAATTATAAGGTGGACATTTTAATTTTCTAGATAGACAATTCTTTATATATATATATACACACTTTTTAACATACGAATGAGTGCATCTTCCAATTTTATTTTATTTTTGGAAAATGAAAACTGCAAATTGAAAAGAAAACTAATAATGGAAACTGTTTTGATTAATATGGATGATGTTGCCTCAAATTCGATGCATTTTTAGCTTCTTAATATGTCCTGTCCCATCTCAGGCCTTATGCTTGGCTTGCGGGTTTGGTGACTTTTGTTCATAATATAACACCTCTCGGGGGCAGAGATTGCACCTGATGCTTAAAAGAGACTTATGCCTTTGACTCCTAGTTAACCTGGGATATTGATATCGTCACATATCTAATGTTGTGGATAGGTCGCATGACAGCTAGATGGGCCCAAGCATCAGAGAGTCACTCCAAGGAAGGGACCCCTGATCTGCAGGATCCAAAAGCTTAGGCTCATCCTCTAACTACCACATGACCTCTCAACAACGTTAGATATCATGGTTTAAGTCACCGTCGTGATGACTATTATCCTAGTTAAATGCTGCGTAAGAGTAAAATCCTCTGTAAGATGTCATTGTTTACAGTAACCTTATCAGTGAATTTAAATCTGAATCCATATCTTCTCTTTGCTGTTGATATCGGGCTAAATCACTTGATCAGCCAATGATAGATCATTATATTTCAATGCATTTAGACTTTCAACAAATAATTATCAACATGACTTGGACAAAGTAAAGATATATGTCTGTAGTGCTAACAAATGACTGCACAAGAAATTCCAAGTGTTTGTTTGGACATGCACATATTCAGAGACAAACAAAAAGGGCCAACTATTGGTCTTGTGAAGTTATTTGAATTTTTGCCATCCTGAATATGATCCAAAATGCAATGCATTTTGTTTTAAACTATCTTGATGATCTGCATTGCCTAGGCAAAAATTGTGAAGATATCTGTTATGATTATTGTGGTTCTTTGGAAAACCCCATTCAGAAGTTTGTATTGTAGTTAAATGAGTTTAATTGTTGTCATATAGGTATGCAATATGAACTTCCACGACAATCGAAAGATGCATCCATCCATGTTTGAGGATGTTAGTGTTCCAAGTGAACACTTTGCAGAGAGGTCAAGATGCAGCAAGCGGCTCCCTGCTCTAGTGAAACATCACGTACGCTCTTGTTGTAATTCATGTTCTGCCCCTCAAAGTAAATCTACAAGTCCTCTTAAGACAGTGTGTGAGAATGGCCTTAAGGAGCAAGAATTTGCTGTTGATTTATCATCCAAAAACGCAACATTTGATGGATCTGGGGATGGGCATGTCCGTAGGCATGTTGCTGTGGGCCCTCTCTTCCAAGCTGAAGTCCCTGAGTGGACTAGCGTGGTTTCCGAGAGTGATTCTAAATGGCTGGGCACACGATTATGGCCTTTGGAATCTGAAAACCATAATGCTGTATTTGTTATGGATCCAATTGGAAATGGAAGACCCAGTGTATGTGGCTGTCAGCTTCCAGGTTCAGTTGGATGTGTGAGATTTCATATTGCCGAGAAAAGAATTAAATTGAAGCTTGAACTGGGTCATTTGTTCTATCATTGGCAGTTTGATCGCATGGGTGAGGAAGTTTCACTTAGATGGACCACCGAAGAAGAAAAGAGATTCAAGGATATGGTCAAGTTTAACCTTTTATCCGCAGGCAAATGCTTCTGGGACAACAAACACAAATATTTTCCTAGAAAGACCAGGGAAGAATTGGTAAGCTATTACTTCAATGCATATCTTGTTCGGCGCAGAAGTTATAAGAACCGTGTAACTCCAAAAAATACTGATAGTGACGATGATGAAACAGAGTTTGGATCTCTTAGTGATGGTTATGGCCATGAAGCACTTGTGGTTCCAGGTGCCTATATGTTGATATGTTCTGAGAATAAGCAATGCACTGATTTCAAATAGACATGAATTTAGGTTCAGAACAGCTTCTCTTATCTGAAAATTGAATCCCTTTATTGTACTACCAAAGCATAGCTCGATGCTCCCAACGATTTTGATTGGACCGGGAGGTCGCAAGAGAGTAACTCAATTTTGTGAAGATCTTCTATTGCAGTGGAGTCAGGTGGTGGAAACCCGGGGGAAAGAGATTGCATGATGTGCTAAGAATGCCCTCACGCTGCTCGCCGAGTATCTCGAGTTATTTACTTGTGCATTAACAATTTTAAGGAGCTGTGAGGCAGCATTCTCTCCACCATCATCCCATACCAGCTGCTAATCTTCGATGAAGGAAATTTTAGGAGTGAAAGAAAGTTGCGGACAGTGGTGTTTCTTGGGGTTCAACTGGTACTTAATTTTGTGTTCAAAATGTTGTACATGGCTGCATGCTTGCTATTGTGAATTCTTTAAAAATCTTCATTGAGGGTTGTGGTGGACCTCGCGGAAGTTGTCTAAGCCACGGCCATTTTCCCTCTCCTGCCTTGTGTTGCTTTCTGGAACCTTCCTCTTTCTATAATGTTAAATGTTCATGTAGGTACTTGTACTGCTTGCAGTTTGAAGATGGATGCTCAAAGAAAGTTGTACCATCTCAGCTCTTCTCAATCTGATCCCGAGGATGTTTTTTCCATGTAGTAGGTTGCTTTATTACAACAAGAACAACAACGAGAACAATGAAGCGAGATATCAGTGGGATGCGAGTTAAGATTCTGTTTTCCATTTTAAGGACATTGTTTTTCAAGCCAATCGCTGCAAATGAATTCAAACTAGTTTATCTGACAAGGTAATTTGGTACAGTCAAAGGAGGTTTACAGTCCAATTTTCCTCATGTCTGAGATTTGATGAGTTCAGATTAATAGAGAAGAAGAATCATGAAAATCTTACACAAATAAATAGTTTTAAATCCGTTTGGTTAAACGAGCTTTGACATTGTAATTGATGGGTGCTTAAAGCTAATCATAAGAAACCTGCTGAACAATAAAAAAATTGAATGATTTGGTTTCATCTTATAAAATGTCTAATACTATATTTTTACGGCCATCTTCTTTGATTTAAACTTAGGACGGTATTGATATGGGAACAAAAAATTCTTACCTTATGAATCATGTCTTATGAACTCCAACTAGGGTACTTTCTCAGCTAAGCTGTGGGACAATAAGATCATTACTTGAAAAATGAACTTACATATATAAAAAATAAAACTTATGAAAAAAATAAATTTAAAAATACAAATAAATGATAATAATAATAAAGTGTGAATTTAGTTTAATAATAATAATAATAATAATAAAGTGTGAATTTAGTACAAGTGTTAAAAATATTATATTTTAAAAATATGTAAACAATAGATATTGAAGGGTATAATTTAATACAAATGAAGAAGAAGAAGAAGAAGAAAATATTAAACTAAAAAATTCATATTATTTATGAAAAAACTCTTTGTTTTGTAAAAATAAATTATCTAAAAAACACAATTAACCAAGAAAAAATTGGTATTTCAAAGGAAAAAGAAAAAAGAAAAATAACCCTAAAAAAAAGGGCCTAAGCTATGAGCGTGAGTCTAGTTTGCTCGGTGTGCTTGTGGTTAGGCCTTCATAAAAGCATGGAGCGTGGGTCCAGACTACAGACCCGTGTACAATTCATGATTTTGTATTTTGGTGAACAATATAAAACATTGTGGACATATTCTAAATCCTCTTGTTTTGTTTGTAATTTGATTATAATTATAATAATATGAATGCTGTTTTTTTGTAAATAAAAAATGAAGTGAAGCAATCCTTGTTTGCTTTTATCCAATCGTGTTGTTAGTTGACTTGTTCTTTGTTGCTGGTTGATATTTTTTTGTCTAACACGAAATAATAAATGTGTAAATATTATTATGTATTTTTTTTATGGAAAAAATATAACTGTAAATAAAAAAATTAATACTTTTATATAATAAAATATAATAAAAATTATATGTGTTGATGAACAAAAAGGATTTTTTAATACAACATCGCTTATAAGATTTGAAGTTAATTTAAAATGTAGTCAAAATATAAAATAATGCTGCAAGTATATCATGATTTTTTAATTGGGAAATACAAAAATGCTATATACATTAAATGAAATAATTTATAAAATGTATATAGTGATAAACTGAAAAAAAGCTATTAATACCAATCAAATTCTAATAAAAGAGATAATTATTCTTATAAAAGTAAAAAAAAAAAATAGATAACTATAATATTTAATTCAATTTCCCCTTTAACGTGCACCCTTCGCTTTTTTAATCTACAAGGTCACTTTTTCTTATCAATAAGGAATAATATTTAATTTGTAGACATATCATGAAGAAGATTTATAAAGAAATTAAAATAATTTCATTGAAAAATTAAATGTATAAAAAAATTAAAAACAATCTTTATTTTAAAAAAGTGAAATAAATAATCTAAAAAATAATAGAAATAGGGGGTGTTAATTTAAATATAAATTAAAAAGATTAATTAAAAATATAAATATAAAACAAGGGTATCAATTAAACAAAAAAATAAAAAAGAGGTCAGCACTACTAGACCTAGACCATTTGAAAAAGGGCTTCCAGTTGTGAGGTCTTAATTTTTTTTTTGTTAAAAATAAAAAAAGATAACATATTATTTGCTCTAATTTTTTTAAAAAAATATAAAAAAAGATAACATATTATTTGCTCTATTTTAAAAAAAAAAAAAGACAAACAACATGTTATAAACCTTTTTAGTTTTTTATTACTGAAAAAATAGCTAGAAAATAAAAAAAAAATGTGTTTTTATCTAAAAATAAAATTTTCAAACTAAAAACACAATTTTAAAACTAAAAACACCTAAATTATATATATATATATATATATAACAGGGTATCAATCAAACAAAAAATAAATAAAAAAGAGGTCAGACACTACTAAACCTAGGCCATTTGAAAAGGGGCTCCCAGACATGGAATCTTATTTTTTTAGTTGAAAATAGAAAAGATAATATGTTATTTGTTTTATTTTTATTTTTTAAAAACAAAAAACATGTTGTGTGCCTTTCCAGTTTTCAACTACTAAAAAGATAGCTAGGAATTTGGAAAAAAAAGTGTTTTTATCTAAAAATACAATTTTTAGACTAAAAATACCTCCATATGATATAAACAAACTAATAAAACAACCCAAAACCCCCTAAAACTCTCATAAAAACATAAATCCAAACTAAAAATAAAATCCTCTCCATATCGTTTGATTTATTTTTTTTTGGCAATGTCAAAGTTAAAAAACAAATCAATAAAAGTCCTCACATCATATCAAATCACATCAAGAAAAACCTATTAACACGAAAATACACTATTTTCATGGTCAAATTCAGTGACTTTATACCTGCTCAAACCAAAAACATGCAAACAAGAGAGAAAAAGTTTTGGATAAAAGTTAGATTTATAAAACTTATAGGAACTAAATATTTATAATGTAAAAAATAGAAGGATGAAGATAACTTTTCACGCCAATTTTAAAGCCACCATTCATTTCCTCTTTTTTTTTTTATCATTTTAATTTTTAATCTTTCAATCTTTTCCTTAGCTCAACAAATTTACTTAAACTGGTCCTCCGATTTGGTTATAAAGGGACGGGAAAGAAATAGCACCGTTGCATCCCATGGTATCATGTGTTTTAGTTTACAATGCATCTTGCAAAGTGATTTGGCCACATAACTTAGTATTTTGTATAATAATAACCAAAAGAAAATTAAAGTCACGAGGTGGTTTCTTTAAAGAAATTAATTAATTTAATCAAAACTATAAGATATTTCACCGTCGGATTCCTTGCAGGAAGAACAGCTTACATAAGGAGAAAGGTGTCGCCTCTTGTGCTCCATGAGAACGTAGCGTGCCGGGCAGGATCGGCGATGGATCATGAGTGGCGTTGAATACCAAAAAGCCTTCAGGAAACTTCAACTATATAATAATGAAGAATTTTGTTGTGTAATAATAATAATAATTAAAAAACACTAGCCAAGAATCTTAAATTTTGATTAAATTAATAATGACTAATTTTAAGATTTGTTTTCATGATTTTGTTGTATAATAATAATAATTAAAAAAAACACCAATAAAGAATTTCGAGCCCGGCTAAGAAGTAGAAAAAAAAGTGAGAAAGGTAATATTTATGTCCAAGTTTTGAAAAAAAAGTGAGAAAGGTAATATTTATGCCCTAAGTTTTGTTTGTTTGTTGGAAAGTAATTTTTTTTAATTGAATTATGAAAAAGTAAATTATTTTCTGATATTTGGTAGTGTAATAAAAAATAAATAGAAAAATATTTTTCAGTATTTGGTTATGTCATGGAAAATGAGTTAGAAAGTAACTTATTAATATTTTATTTTTCTTATATTTATTAAAATAATGAGAAATAAATCTTACAAATTAAAACGTTGAATGAGAATGAGATTGAAAAAAAATATAATTTCATAAATTATCTCAAATAAAATAAATAATAATCAAAATAATAGAGATCAAATTTAAAAAATAAAAAATAAAAGATGGAGAAATTAAAATAATATTATTAACATTTCATAAATTATTTCAGATAAAATAAGTAACAATCAAAAAAATGAGGATCAAATTTGCTAGATAATAATTTTCAATAACAAATTATAAGAAAAAAGCAAATAACAATTATAAAAATGAGGATCAAAGTCAATAAATAACAATCATAAAAATGAGGACCAAAGTCAATATAAAAATAAAATTGAATAATAAATATTTAAAACAAATTATATATAATAATTAAAAGTTTGAGGATCAAATTTGATATAATCAATGGATAATATGATATTTGTAAATTTTTCATAACTTTCATAAAGTGTTTTTCGTCTAATTTTTTTAGAAAAATACTTTTCTGGAAATTATATTAAATTTTTTTAACTGAAAAGTATTTTTTATTGAATAATTTTTTTATTAAAAAATAAATATAAAAAAAATTAAAATTTATTTTTAAAAAATTATTTTATTATAAACAAACATATTCTAAATGGAATCTTTGATGCTGCAAGCAATACAGTCAAACATATACAACATGCACACGTTTAAAATGATAACATTATTATTATAAATTTCAAAAAAACTTGATTTCACTATATCTGCATTGTATTGTTTATCGTATCACGTTAACTCACCTAACTATTCATGACATTTTTTCATTTACAGGCCTTGAATTTTTTCAATTTGTTTATCAACCTTAATTTCTTTGTTGCAAGTGTTTGAAAATTTTGTTTTTAAAAATATGATTAATAAGTATATTTGAAATCAAATAAAAAATAAAATCCATTTATTTTTTAAATTAAAATCTTATTTAAATTTAATTTTCAATATAAATTTATTAACATAGATCATTAATATAATTTAAATAGATTGTAGGTGACTGATATATTAGTTTTAAAACATTCCTCTTGATATATTTTGATGAAATCATAAATCCTTTAAAAAATATTTATCCCATATAAAAAGAAAATAATCTTTTTTGGTGATTATAAAGTTAAAAGTTAAAAAATTAAAATTAAATCCAAAAAGCATATAAGTGAGAGGTTATAGGTAAAATGGTAC